ACACCGGGGACACATGGTGATGTAGAGAAGACATCAGAAAGTGCCTTTTGCATGATAGGAGAGCTTTTTAATGACGTTAATTCATGTTTCTGTGAGCAGCCCAGCTGAGGGGGGAGCAGCCGAGCTACCTGAAGGGAGATAACTTCTTTAAGTTCGTCTGCAGCGACTGTTCTGAGGACGGGAAGGAGAGCTTCGAGAGGATGAGGCTCACCTGGCAGCAGGTAACATCGTCTCTGTGGACACACTGCAAGTCAAAACACTGACTCTGGATCAGCAGCTAATCCCTCCTAAACTGTGAAATAGAGAATATGCTCAGGCTGTGCAATTATTCTATCATACTCCACACTATAAAATATTCTACAGTTATTGTTGAAGTTTGTAATATCCTACATGAGTCAATTCACTTTGCATTACTTAAGGAACCTGGTTTTCAAGATGGTGTTTATAAAGTGTTTTCTTCTTCAGGTGGTGATGCTGGCGATGTACAATCTGTCTACTGGAGGGAACCGGCCGGCAGGGATACTTCAGGTGGAAAGAGGACATCTGCGCCTTCATCGGACGACACTGGAACTTCCTGTTGGGAACAAGGTCACTGAGTACTTCCTTTCATTCCTATTACTCTCTGCAGGAAGAAGACCTCGACTTGGTGGAGCACGGTGGCCGGATGCTAACGGCTAACAGCTAACTTTGTGGTTTCTCTGCAGGAAGAAGACCTCGACCTGGTGGAGCACGGTGGCCGGATGCTAACGGCTAACAGCTAACTTTGTGGTTTCTCTGCAGGAAGAAGACCTCGACCTGGTGGAGCACGGTGGCCGGATGCTAACGGCTAACAGCTAACTTTGTGGTTTCTCTGCAGGAAGAAGACCTCGACCTGGTGGAGCACGGTGGCCGGCTGCCTGTCGGTCGGCAGTCCCACCTTCTTCCGGTCCGGAGCGCAGGAGTTCGGAGAGCCCGGCTGGTGGAAGCTGGTCCAGAACAGACCACCAACTCTGAGGCCAGACACTGAAAAATCCACCACCAAGGCCAAAGGTATGGTCCATCTGCGCTGAACCAGGGTTCCAGTTAAACCCTGACTAATACTTTTCATGTAACCTTGCATTATACTATCATCGAGCAAACCTCTTTGACCCAGAGAGAAGAGGTAATGCCATCCTAAAACAATAAAAGCCAATGTTGTGTTTAGGGAAAATACTTTTTACAAATCAAACAATTCTACGGCCTCGATAGGACAACAGGTCTCCGGACTCTAGACCGGACAGATAGTCTCTGTACTGTCTACTTAAAACAGGGTTCTAGACTCACAAGGCCTTGAATCAAAATGTGAAACCCAAATGTGTTAGAAAAATCTCCCTGGTCACCGGCTTGATCTTGAATCTCAGGATCCATGTATCTGTGATCCTCTCCAGAATGGAAGTAGTCATCACATACAGAGCATCAACTAGTTCCTGAACAGTGTCCTTCACATGCTGATATCCAAGAGAGGGAGTTCCACAGTCACAAGATGGAGGGATAGAAAGCAGTATTCAATGTTTACTTCAGATTAGCTCCACGTCAGAAATGATCATGCTTGTCATATGTCTCTCTCCATAGAGGCTGAATCATCATGTTAATCACATAGCTATCATATGCCTCAAACAGTCCTGATGCTCTTCTAGGTCATCACACATCCTGTCATGTTCACAGCTACAGTTGATACCTTTGTTAGCATGTTGCTCTCATGTTGGAAGAAGACACTCAGTGTTTTCCCAACATTGTGATTGATGAAAGCAGTACATTTGTCAGATTTCCCCGAACACATCAGGTGTTTTAAAGTCTGTAACTGACTCTGAGCTGTCTGACCTGCAGCCTCGAAGCCCGTCATGGAACCCATCATCACGGTGGAGGGTCTGAGGAAGCGAGGGGCCAGGAACCCGGTGGAGAACGCCATCCAGCTGAAGGAGAAGCGCTGCCGGACGCAGGAGGCCAAAGACATACGGCGGGCTCAGAAGGAGGCGTCGGGCGGAGGGGGGGGGTACAACGACCGCAGCGCCTCCTCCACGCCCGTCAAACTGGGCGGAGGCCGGGGGGGGAACGCCGGGCGCCGACCGGACCTGGTCCTGGAGAAAGGAGAGGTGATTGATTTCTCCTCCCTCAGCTCGTCGGACCGGACCCCCCTCACCAGCCCCTCACCATCACCCTCCCCAGATTTCTCCGCCCCGGGGACGCCGGCCTCGCACTCAGCGACGCCCAGCCTGCTGTCGGAGGCCGACCTGATCCCCGACGCCATGCCCCCGCAGGCCCTGTTCCACGGTGAGTTCAGATCCTCCAGGTCTGTTGTGAGTAGTTCATATGATACAATAACACTGGTCTTCAGATCAAGTCTGAAATGTTTCCTGCATCACAGCAGCTCCGTGTGCAACAAGGACAGATATTAAGACACGATACAAGGTTACAAGATTACAAGGAAACAGTTTAACATAAAATCATGTGACTGAAAGAACAACATGTTCAAGACCCGATCAGATCTGGGATTAAACTCTGTATTTGAGGATTGACTTGTGCACAAAGGAGAGCCTCAGTCTGACTTTATTCAATCCTGGGACGCTGTATCTCCGATATGATATTTATATTCACTGTTCAGGACGTGTTGGGGTCAGAGATGATGTTGTCCGCCAGCCTCACTGTGTTGTTCCGTCTGCTGGTTCATGGAGTTTCTCACAGGGTTGACCTTCAACCTTTGAACATGTAGTAAACATGTTATCCTTTGCAGACGATGAGGAGATGGAGACGGAGGGGATGATCGACCCGGGGATGGAGTACCTCCCTCCTCCTCGCGCCAGCCTCGTCGCCCGGAAGAAGCTCCGTCCGGCAGCGCCTCACATCAAACGTGAAGCCGAGAGCGAGGACGACGAAGGACACGACGAAGAGTTTGAAGGGCCGGTGGGACGCAGGGAGGGGCTGTCGCTCTCTGCCGGGGGCTGTGTTGGCGCCGGAGGCCCCGAGAGGAGGAGGATAAATCACCCGGAGAAAGCAGGCGAAGAACCCCAGACCCCCTGCTTCTCCCCCCTCAGTCTGTACGAGGAGAGGATGCTGCTCCGCCGGCTGGCCTCCTGCCCGCTAGCGTTAGCCGTCACTCCGCAGGCCAAACGCCTCCACAGGAAGCTGCTGGTGCGCCAGGCCAAGAGGCAGCGAGGGCTCCCCCTGCTGGACGTCGACCGGGCGGTCAGCGCCACCCTCAGCCTGGTGGGGGGGATCTACGGCGCCACGGGGACCCTGATGCGAGGGGGACTCCTGGGGAAATACTGCACCAACAGCCAGGAGTCGCGGATCCTTGATCGCTTCCAGGTACCTCCAACCTTCATCCTGGTCTTATTCAGTGTCATTTCTTTGTCAACCCTTGTAGACTAAATGTGTTTGTGTACAGACCAGCCTCTCCAGCAGAAGAGGCCTTCAGCAGACCCCGGTGTCCTTCTGCCATCGTCTGACTGGAGCAGAAGGCAGTTCAGACCTGAGCATCAAGAGTCCGTACACCGCCCGCATCCTGAAACCCTACATCAGGTAAAGAGTCCCTTTTTAAATGAATCAGGTATTGAGTCCTGATGAATTCCATCAGGTAGAAAACGTCCACATCACTTTTTTCATGTAAAAAGGATATAGACTTTGTGTTGTTTAGAGAGTTTGGGTATCTTTTAATTTGAAGCGGGTCCCGATGAAAGATCACCGACCAGTGTCCGGTAGAGATTATGGCCCGAGACTTAGACCTAGAGTCCTGAGACTTTTCAGGGGGAGGAGAGTCTGTAGACCCTTTGTCGTGAAGGGTCCTAAAACCTTTGGGCAGGTAGATGGGGCAGGAGAACAATTGTCAAGGAAAGACTATTTTCCCAAGACTTTACATATGGTGGAGACTAGAGTCCCTAGACTCAGACCTCTTATCAGGTAGAGACTAGAAACTACAGTCCTGAGACCTGCTGTCAGGCAGAAAGTCTAACCACAACCCTCTTGATGGTAAGGGGGTCCCGATGAAAGATGAATTTGTCAGGTCGAGACTTTAGTCCTGAGACCTTTCAGGGCTTCAGGTAGTCTGGAGGATTTTTGTAGGGTAGAAAGTCCAGAGATGTGTCGATGGTAAGGGGGTGCCGATAAAAGATACACTTTTCTAAAGTCCTCAGAACTTTCAGGACTTCCGGAATTCCGTAAACATTGCGTTTCGATGCTCTCTCATTAGTTGTAGTAATCTGGGTAGGTGTTTCTATAGTAGCACTTCTCTGTTTGTTTTTCAGGAGGGATTATGAGAGTCGTCCGGTGAAGCTGAGGTTGTTGGAAGAGATCAGAGCTTACCCCCACAGAAAGAACCCCAACTGGGTCCCTGAACCCAACGCTCCCATCGACTACTGCTACGTCCGCCCCAACCACATCCCCTCGGTGAACGCCATGTGCAACGAAAGCTACTGGCCAGGTACACAAAGTCCTACAAACCTAAAACCCCCCTACCATGAATCTGTCTCTTCTTACCAACAACCCCCCTACCACAAATCTGTCCAAACCCACCGTGTCTCACTCCAGGTGTGGACCTATCAGAGTGCCTGCAGTACCCGGACTTCAGCGTGGTCGTCCTGTATAAGAAAGTGGTGATCGCCTTTGGTTTCATGGTGCCGGATGTGAAGTACAACGAGGCCTACATCTCCTTCCTGTTGGTCCATCCGGAGTGGAGGAGGGCCGGCATCGCCACCTTCATGATCTACCATCTGATCCAGGTGAGCTCAGACAGTCCTTTGAAGGAAAGTACCAATATGGAAGCCAGTGTTTCCGTGAGCAGGTATTTACCGGACTTTGACCATAAATATCAGTAGAAGTCCGGTAAATTTAAATCTTTACGGGCATAGTTTCTGGTAAAAGTAATTAAAAATGTACCCTGAGACAGATGTAGGGCGATTAAACATCGGGAAATGATTGTAATGTCGATACCGATCCCACAGAATATGAGTGTGACAGCAGCGGTCGCTTCATAGAGCATCTCTTCAGATGAAAATATGGCTTTTTAATACGAAGGACGATCCCAGCTATGCTCTGATCAGGGATCTGTTTCGGCTGACTGTTTTCCTGTGTTTTTCAGACGTGCATGGGGAAAGACGTGACGCTGCACGTGTCGGCCAGTAACGCCGCCATGCTGCTCTACCAGAAGTTTGGTTTCAAAGCGGAGGAGTACATCCTGGACTTCTACGATAAGTATTACCCAGTGGACAGCATCGAGTGCCGCCACGCCTTCTTCCTGAGACTCAGGCGCTGACCTTCACCTGCAGGAGTCCAACCGGTCGAGAGGAGACGGAGATCTTCCTCTTAAAATGGACATCCACCCGGCTGCAGCACAGTGCCTGGCTCAAAGGAAGCAGGGCAGAAACAGATACACCAACGGCTGATAGAGCGCGGGAAACTGGGACAATGTTGGATGGATTTATCAGAAAGTTGGAAATCTCCCGCTCCAATTTATCTCCATTTGTTTGGATTGTGTTTGTTTGTACTCAGGTAAAGATGAATGTATTAGTGTTAGACTGTCAGTAGTTCTATTCCAGTGGTGGTTTGTTTGAGATTTCCAATAACTCCAGAGCGTTATAAAGTCCAAATGCAACTAACCAAATATTCTGCTTCAGTACAGATTGTATACTTGTTAAATATCTTCACGAACGGGTTGTGTTCATTAAATAAAAGACAAGGATTTATTTTGTTCTTGACAGATATTCAAAACTTCATGCAAAAAACACTGAAAGACTTGGAGTCGGTACAGCCTGTAAATAAACACCTCTCTACTTTCTTTGGAGCGATGATGACGAATCAAACTGTGTTTCTGTGACTGCTGGTGCTTTTAGAAGAAATTCTGATGAACAATAATTCAGAAAACCTCACCGTGTTTCTTTTGTAAGATCGGAACAATAAATATATCTGGCCTTAAATATCATCATGAATCCGTCAGTTTTGTTCCGTTTTCCAGTAAACCTGTATTTTCTGAGGGAGCAGGGCTTGCCTTCCCCCCAGCGGTGTGAGGGACTACTGTATGGAAGGTGTTGTGCATTTAACGACTGCAGGAGGAAACGTATCCAGTGCTTCTTTAAAACAAGCTTTATTTCAGACGTGGACACATCTTACATCTGTCTCTGGGACGAGGCACAGGGTGGAAGAGTTTCATGCTGAAGATGTCGCTGTCGAAGCGAGACATTTAAAGACACTTCACAACTTTTCTGACATTTAACAAACAGACACATACTAGAAGATCTCAACAAATCTGCATTATGAAAATGATCTCAAACTACAGCCAGTAAACCAGAGAAGTATCATTGTTATAAAATCTGTCTTGCAGTAAGTCCACATCCGGCTGCAGGACGTGTCCCGGTGCTTCAGACAGACTCAGGATCAGTCTGTGGTTCAGGAGACGTCCAGGTTCAGTCTGTGGTTCAGGAGACGTCCAGGTTCAGTCTGTGGTTCAGTCTGTGGTTCAGGAGACGTCCAGGTTCAGTCTGTGGTTCAGGAGACGTCCAGGTTCAGTCTGTGGTTCAGGAGACGTCCAGGTTCAGTCTGTGGTTCAGGAGACGTCCAGGTTCAGTCTGTGGTTCAGGAGACGTCCAGGTTCAGTCTGTGGTTCAGGAGACGTCCAGGTTCAGTCTGTGGTTCAGGAGACGTCCAGGTTCAGTCTGTGGTTCAGTCTGTGGTTCAGAAGACGTCCAGGATCAGGAGACGTCCAGGTTCAGTCTGTGGTTCAGTCTGTGGTTCGGTCTGTGGTTCAGAAGACGTCCAGGTTCAGTCTGTGGTTGAGGAGACGTCCAGGTTCAGTCTGTGGTTCAGAAGACGTCCAGGTTCAGTCTGTGGTTCAGGAGACGTCCAGGTTCAGTCTGTGGTTCAGAAGACGTCCAGGTTCAGTCTGTGGTTCAGGAGACGTCCAGGTTTCAGTCTGTGGTTCGGTCTCTGTTTCAGAAGACGTCCAGGTTCAGTCTGTGGTTCAGAAGACGTCCAGGTTCAGTCTGTGGTTCAGAAGAGGTCCAGGTTCAGTCTGTGGTTCAGGAGACGTCCAGGTTCAGTCTGTGGTTCAGAAGACGTCCAGGTTCAGTCTGTGGTTCAGAAGACGTCCAGGTTCAGGAGACGTCCAGGTTCAGTCTGTGGTTCAGGAGACGTCCAGGTTCAGTCTGTGGTTCAGGAGACGTCCAGGTTCAGTCTGTGGTTCAGAAGACGTCCAGGTACAGTCTCTGGTTCAGGAGACGTCCAGGTTCAGTCTGTGGTTCAGGAGACGTCCAGGTTCAGTCTGTGGTTCAGTCTGTGGTTCAGTCTGTGGTTCAGAAGACGTCCAGGATCAGGAGACGTCCAGGTTCAGTCTTTGGTTCAGAAGACGTCCAGGTTCAGTCTGTGGTTCAGTCTGTGGTTC